CTCAGCAGCGGCAGAGCCGACAAAAGCGGCGGCGGCAATGGCGAGGACAGTCTTCGTGTTCATGGTACTTGGCTGGTGGGGTGTTTAGACAATGCCCGATAGCTGGCTGTATGTGTGCAGAGCAAAGCAAGTTGTAAAATGAAGAGTTGCTTGGTACGGGATCCGTGCCCGTGACGGGTGCCGGGTTCTTGGTGCCCGAACAGCAGCGAGTTTCTTACGAACAGGAAGGATATGGTGGGAGCTGAGGTGATCCGATCTACTGCAATTGACTAGCATCTGTTAGAAAATAGTAGCCAAAGTTGTTGGCGATTAGTTTGGTCTCGGATGACCTGTCTTTCTCGATATATTCATTGAACAAAGGCGGCCTGGGAAATAGCATCCTCTTACTGTTGGCAAAGTCTGCGGTATCATCCCACCTGCGAATTTAAATAATTGATAAGAAATGCATACTTCTCATGTTGTCAGTGCAGAGCGAGACAAAAGTCAAGCAGAAGCAGATTCGTAGCACTAATTTAGTGCACGTCTTGCTGACCCGATTTTGGACTCGCAAGGATCCCTTCAAGAAAATGTCCCAAGCAGTTTCGACGACTAGGAAATTCATTCGTGTATTAATTACGCGAGGGTGTTCTAGAATTTGAGTGGATCGACAGCACGTTTTTGTATATGTATATTCTGCGGCATTGAAATGCTGGGGGCGGTGTGTGTACAAAATTTACTGTCCTCGCTTATAAAATCGCCCCAACATTCTTGGGCCAACAAGGGAAACTACGTCGATAAACTCCCAGACACTGTACTGAGTTCAGGCTGAAACTTCAGCTGCGACTCGCAGCCTGCGCTATCTGATCTTGTGTCCATTGCTAACACCAGGATCGGTGGACTTTCTACCTGTTTCAACTGGAGAAACCACGTTGCGATGCCCAAACTACCCAGTTGGAGTGATCAACCAATCACATCGATGTGTTGCCCAAAATAATCTATATTGGGTCAGTGAATATGACGTATTTTAGGTAATGTATCTGCTCGTGTGCCGATCGTCCCACCTTCTGACAAATGTGCAACACCAGTCGTCCACCTCCTTGTCCTCTAAAGATATGCTTTGATTCAGAAAAAAAATAGTTCAGAATCAGGGGACACTCAACTTGTGTGACACAAGCACCTTTGCCGTCCGAAATTATTCAGACACCAAGGATTGGCCCAAGCATCTTGCATCCACACCGACGCCACTCCTACGTACAATTTCCACCATGCACCTCCTCATTCCACAAATTGCTCCGCTCAAACCAAATAGCTAGCCTCTCCAAAAACCCGCCAACCAGGTACCATGAACACGAAGACTGTCCTCGCCATTGCCGCCGCCGCTTTTGTCGGCTCTGCCGCTGCTGAGACGTGCTCGTCCACGGACCAGACGACC